ACTAAATTGACCAGAATTGGCCAACAGGAGAGGTGTCGGGTTCCACCAGTACAACGCTAGGCCACACACATCTACAGTGACTCGTCAGAAACTTCGGTAGCTTTGTTGGGAAGTTTTAATGCATCCGCCATACAGTCCGGACTCGGCACGAAGCGATTATCATCTTTTTCTTGCATTGCAAAATTGCTTTAATTATAAAAAATTGGTATGTAGGGAGGATTGTGAAAACCGACTACTAGAGTTTTTTTTTTTTTTTGCAAATAGAGAGCTGTACTTCTACGAGGGATGCATTATGAATTTACCTTTAAAATGGCAACAAATCATACCACAAACGGTGCATATTTGGCCCAAATCGGACATTCCGAAGCATGTTAAATAAAGTCCTATCAGCGCCGTTTTGAAGAGTCTATGTATTCTGACTTAGACCAATATTTATATTATCCACGAGGCTCTTGGGCTCAATTTGGATTGTTTTGAACATACATGGGGGCGAAAGTTCTTTCTCATATGTTTGCAAGTGTCACAATCATCGTTCCGACATGTGCCTGTTTTTATGATGAAGTGAAAAATCCTTCTGGCAAGATCCACGCAAGAGGAGTTGTTGACCTTAAAATTAATTTCATTATATATTAGATATAAAAAAATATTGGATTTAGCTTTGTAGAAAGTACTGTCGCGTTTTACACGGATTTTTATTTAGACCTTGGCAGGCCAACCTTATCGAATATCTCAAATCGACTTTCGATATTTTAAAGGAGCCTATCAGTTCTCAATATTATTTGGAGGTCCCTAAGTTATTAATATCTTGTGAGAGAACTCAGCATATTTCTGAATCTAATATTAATGCAAAGGAATGTAAAATTTTGTCATACTGTACGTGGATCGGAACAGTATGACAAAATTTTACACTCCAATGCATTAATGTCGGATTCAGAAATTTTCGATATGTTGATACTTTGTGGGAAGAAGTTAGAAATTGGTATAGGTTTGGTAAAAGTTTGGACATTCTGTTCGCTTTATATTATAAAATTAATTTTCAGCAAAACTTTGGACATTTTGTGGGGGAGGTCGAAGATGAGTAGAACAATGTTCACAGTGTCGTAGAAGAGTGAGGGGCGGTATATAAATCACAAATAATGCAGTGTGGTATATTTCCAAAGTTAATTTTTCTTCGGTTTTATTTATTTATCGTTGCCTTCTTCTTCAGCAAGGGCTAAAGATGAGAAATGGATCACATACGATAATCCTGTGCGAAAAACGGTCGTGGTCAAAGAGCGGTGAAGCAACTCAGACGGTGGCCAAACCAGGACTAACGGCCAGGAAGGTTCTGTTATGCATTTGGTGGGACTTTAAGGGATTATATATTATGAGTTGCTTCCGTGAGGCCAAACGCTAAATTCTGATCTCTTCTGTCAACAACTGCAGATATAAATTGATCAGAATTGGCCAACAGGAGAGGTGTCGTGTTCCACTAAGACACACATTTACAGTAACTCGCCAGAAACTTCAGGAGCATGGTTGGGGGCGGTATATAAATCACAAATTATGCGGTGTGGTATATTTCCAAAGTTATTTTTTCATCGGCTTTACTTATTTATCGTTGCCTTCTTCTTCAACAAGGGCTAAAGATACAGGCATGTAGGTTCCCCTAAATTTCAAATAGCTCCTAAATTTCGAAATATTAAAAAATAATAATAATATTAATTTGATCAATATATCCAACATACATTAGGAAGTGCGAAAATAATTGAGAACCGAACGAGTTTCATTTTTGTAATGTTGCCCAAGAGACCTTAGTAACAGAGGTCGTAAACCTATGTTACAAAGAAACGGAAGTAAAATCTTCACCTGTTTCTATGTACCTACATACATAACCATATATACTTCATAATGGTACCATAGCCATATCTACTTAAATAGATCAATATTACCACTAATGGCATGTGATCTAAAAAACCAAAACTTGTAACTAAGTGAAAAATAGATAATCATGAAAAATCGAGAATAAATTAATAAAAAATTTCGCAAAACATGAAAGATATCAAAAAATAATACTAACAGATTTAAATTAACTCTTACCCTCGTTAAAGTAGTTCTTGTTGTTGCAGTTGTCAAATCCATTATAACGGAACAAAGGTTTCGAATGAAATCTTCTGTAAATAAATTAAAGAAACCGAAAAACAAAAATAATAATGTGTTAAAATTTCAATCAAATGAGAAAAATATACAGACATTAGCTGCTACCGTTAGTTGTGTGTGTTCGGGAAAGATGAACAATGGCACCCGATAACAACAAAAACAAAAACCATCTGATCATCATTTGGGGGAAGGGAAATACAAAAATGTAAACAAGAAATCGAAGTGTGCTAATTAAAAGCCCATAAAAATCATTTAAAAAAATTAGCAAATGAATGAATGAGTTTGGATGAATGAATAGCAACAACATTCACATACACAGTAGCTCATTTGTATAATGGGAACTCGTGTGGAGACTAAACGGTGGAACTTTGTTGTGATGATGGTGGGCAGACGATGACGATGTTACAACAATCAAACAAGTGGGAAATGTGCGAATTCCAATGAAATCGCGTTGTATATGTGTATTTGTGAAGCTGTGCATTTACGTCGTCGTTGTTGTAGTTATACAAACGAAAATCCGGAAAACTCTAACCGTTATCAACGCCATAGAGCTTCGATTTGGCGAACATTCTAACAAAGACCTCCTTTTTGCAAAAATCTCATTTGCCGAGGCAAAAACAAAAAATAAAACAAAAGAGTGCGTCTAAAGAGAAATGTGTCAATAAGTAAAATAAATCGAGTGTGCAAATATTATTATGTGATTTCAGTTGGGGAGGTACGGACGGTAACGTTCGCTGGTTTGAAACACAAGAAAACGACATAATAGACGACAAACGCTATGAAACAATTAAAACTAATGATCAACATCATCATGTAACGGTTGGATAAGACGTAATCACACAATGATGATCATTATTGACAGTAGAATGGGTCGAAAACATGAGTCGATTGGTAAAAGAAATGGTGGAATTTTTAAGAAATATTTGTTAAAGGACCCCTAGAAGGCCACTACAAGGCATGGATTTTTTAAAGAATATTTTTTCAAGGGCTATATAAGGCGTGGATTTTTTAAAGAATATTTTTTCAAGGACCAATACAAGGCGTGGTTTTTTAAAGAATATTTTTTCAAGGACCAATACAAGGCGTGGATTTTTTAAAGAATATTTTTTCAAGGGCTATATAAGGCGTGGTTTTTTAAAGAATATTTTTTCAAGGACCAATACAAGGCGTGGATTTTTTAAAGAATATTTTTTCAAGGGCTATATAAGGCGTGGATTTTTTAAAGAATATTTTTTCAAGGGCTATATAAGGCGTGGATTTTTTAAAGAATATTTTTTCAAGGGCTATATAAGGCGTGGATTTTTTAAAGAATATTTTTCCAAGGGCTATATAAGGCGTGGATTTTTTAAAGAATATTTTTTCAAGGGCTATATAAGGCGTGGATTTTTTAAAGAATATTTTTTCAAGGGCTATATAAGGCGTGGATTTTTTAAAGAATATTTTTTCAAGGGCTATATAAGGCGTGGATTTTTTAATGAATATTTTTTCAAGGGCTATATAAGGCGTTGATTTTTTAAAGAATATTTTTTCAAGGGCTATATAAGGCGTGGATTTTTTAAAGAATATTTTTTCAAGGGCTATATAAGGCGTGGATTTTTTAAAGAATATTTTTTCAATGGCTATATAAGGTGTGGATTTTTTAAAGAATATTTTTTCAATGGCTATATAAGGCGTGGATTTTTTAAAGAATATTTTTTCAATGGCTATATAAGGTGTGGATTTTTTAAAGAATATTTTTTCAATGGCTATATAAGGTGTGGATTTTTTTAAAGAATAAGGTGTGGATTTTTTAAAGAATATTTTTTCAATGGCTATATAAGGTGTGGATTTTTTAAAGAATATTTTTTCAATGGTCTATATAAGGTGTGGATTTTTTAAAGAATATTTTTTCAATTAGTAGGCCTTTTTAAAAATTATTTCTTAAGTGTGGATTTAAAAAAAATATGTTGTAGGAATTTACGATACTCACCTGTACCCAACCCAATTTACAATAAAAATAATAATACTTACAAATGAGGGCGTATTTTATACAATTGTTTTATGATGCCGCCAAATGTTTAGTTTCGAATAGTGAAAAATCTCATTATATCTAATTGTTCTTCACTAATTGCTGCTGTACGAACATAATTAACAGTTACAAACCACGTCAAGATGTTACACAATAACTAGACATCGGATTTGAAAATAAATGCTACGATTTTAAGGTTTACTGGCTGCTGCTGTCACTGGTGTTGTTGGTGTAGTTGTATTTCCTAACTGGCTCAAACAAGACACAAAGTGAATTAATTAAAAACAACAACAACTAAGCCGAACGAAGTGCGTTTTTTATCATCTAATGATTTCAATCTACTTTTTGTTACAATTTAGTTAGTCACAAAAAGGTTGGGATTCGGAAAACTTGTCTTTAAGAAAAAATCTGTGTAACCAAAATTTGGAAAAATGTGCTTACAATGAAGAAAAGAACTACTAAACAAAATAAACAACCATTTACCCCACAGCCCTACACTCCAAAATAAATTGTAACCCACGAAAATAATACAACAAAATATTACAAAAATATTCTAATTAAAATAACAAACAACAAAAACAAATGATACGCATAACAAGTCTACAAAATAAATTAAAATTTTTTGCGGAAATAAAAATTTTATTTGATGAAAATAAAAATCCCCAAAAAGAAAATAATTAAAAATTAAATAATAAAAATTATATTAATTTTGTGTTGTAATTTGTTGTGAATAAAAAAAACTACTCTGATTGCTGAATGCTTGCGCAAAGTGTGCGTGTGAAAAGTGAGAGTGAGTGTTTGTGTTTTGGCGCCCCTCCTGTATTAATTCGCCAGTCAGCTTCTTCAGGGAGAAACATGAATTTTATTGGCCGTCATGATCATTTGGGCGGTTATCGGCGTGTGAACACAACCACCTATGGCATACCCCTATTTACGAAAAATGAAACAACATCGTTTGTTAAAGAAAGTGTTTCATGGAAGTGGCACAAGGTAAAAAAAATGCAAACCAAAAAAATTAAATACAATGATTTAATTATTATTAAAACAAAATTATATAATTAAAAAATATAAACAAATTTGCATAGTGGGAGGTCGTAGAAAGAAATATATAAGCTTGTAACCAAATTTTGAGACAATAAGTAAACAAAAAATCGACAGCTAGACACGGCTATTTTTTAAAGGATTCTCTGTGCAATTTTCAAAATAGATTTGAAGGTAATATAAATATCACAGGTGTGGATTTTTAAAGAAAATTTGTTAAGATCTATCCCAGGTGTGGATTTTTTGTTTAAGGAGTACCTCAAGCGAGGATTTTTTTAATTTTAGATTTTTAAAAAGTACCTTAGTCATGGATTTGTTAAAGAATATTTTTTCAAGGACTATCAGAAGCGTGGATTTTTAAAGAATAATTTTAAAGGAGAGTCTTAGGCGTGGATTTTTTAAAGGAGAGTCTTAGGCGTGGATTTTTTAAAGGAGAGTCTTAGGCGTGGATATTTTAAAGGAGAGTCTTAGGCGTGGATTTTTTAAAGGAGAGTCTTAGGCGTGGATTTTTTAAAGGAGAGTCTTAGGCGTGGATTTTTTAAAGGAGTGTCTTAGGCGTGGATTTTTAAAGGAGTGTCTTAGGCGTGTATTTTTAAAGGAGTGTCTTAGGCGTGGATTTTTTACAGTTGAGTCTTAGGCGTGGATTTTTTAATGGAGTGTCTTAGGCGTGGATTTTTTAAAGGAGTGTCTTAGGCGTGGATTTTTTAAAAGAGTGTCTTAGGCGTTGATTTTTCAAAGGAGTGTCTTAGGCGTGGATTTTTTAAAGGAGTGTCTTAGGCGTGGATTTTTTAAAGGAGTGTCTTAGGCGTGGATTTTTTAAAGGAGTGTCTTAGGCGTGGATTTTTCAAAGGAGAGTCTTAGGCGTGGATTTTTTAAAGGAGTGTCTTAGGCATGGATTTTTTAAAGGAGTGTCTTAGGCGTGGATTTTTCAAAGGAGAGTCTTAGGCGTGGATTTTTTAAAGGAGTGTCTTAGGCGTGGATTTTTCAAAGGAGAGTCTTAGGCGTGGATTTTTTAAAGGAGAGTTTTAGGTGTTTATTTTTTAAAGGAAAGTCTTAGGCGTGGATTTTCAAAGAATATTTTTTCAATGGCCTTCCAAGGCGTGGTTTTTTAAAGACGCCTTGGAAGGTAATTGGCGTGGTATTTTTAAAGACGCCTTGGAAGGCGTGGTATTTTTAAATACGCCTTGGAAGGCCATTTGCGTGGTATTTTTAAAGACGCCTTGGAAGGCCATTGGCGTGGTATTTTTAAAGACGCCTTGGAAGGCCATTGGCGTGGCATTTTTAAAAAATATTTTTTCAATGGTCATCCAATGCGCGTGGCATTTTTAAAAAATATTTTTTCAATGATCATCCAAGGCGCGTGGCATTTTTAAAGAATATTTTAAGGGAGGTGTTGCTAGGAATATTTTTTAGAAGACTATAGCAATCGTAAAGAGTATGAGGATAATTTTTATTTTTTTCTGTTCTATATATCAACTAAAAATTTGCTTCTAATATCATTATTGTGTATGTTTCTACCATTAAAAATACACGCCTCCACAAATCAAAGGAGAAATAAATTTTATTACACTTTATTTGCGCAGTATCTTCAAAATTTTGCAAAACAAAGTCGCTTTAAGTCCACAAAATAAATAAATATTTATTACAATTATAATTCAAAAGACATTCGAACTTAGAGACTGGGTGTGTTATACCAAACATCTGAAATGTGGATATTGTGATACACCAAAGGATACAGACCACCCGTTGAGTTCAGTTTTACGACCTATTTATAAATATGTTTGTATTCCTCCTAATGCTATAGTTTAGGGTTTTAAACATGAATTTGTCTACAACTGCATGTTATTGTTGTTAAAATCACATGTGAAATATAATACAGCTCGTAAACAACGACGTTTGAGTGAGAAAAAAAACAAAACCAATGAATGAAAGAAACCAGAATCCCATAAATTCTGTCAAATCGTTCTACAGAGCCACACACACCATACATTAGGAAAGTCATTAAACCAAAAAAAGTGTTATTTGTTGCTTCGGAATCAAAACAAAAAAAAACTGTTTGATGTACACAGTGATTTCAAGAAGTTTAAAATACTGTTTGCTTAAAAATTATATCAATTTCAATAAGATGATAGTGTTAATAACCAACACATAAGATTATGAGACAAAAAGTGTAGAAATTCATATTTTGGATTTGGGCACGTTTTTCAATCGATTTTGCTTTAATTTTTTTTATAGAATTATTATAGGGTATCAAAAATTGTTAATGCCAATTTACGGTTTGGTATAGCTCCCATAGAATGGTACCATCCTATTTTCGGTATTTTGAAGACATTAACCACATTTTTCAAATGATGGCGCTTAAATTTGTTATACCAGTGAGCGGAGCAGTATAGTCGGACGGGGCCGATCATATATTACCCCATTCAGCTGACACTGAATTCTAAGTTCCTGCGGATCTATATACTGAGCCAAGGCAATATTTCGCGATATATGCACTCTTTTGACCGATTAGAAGCCAACAGCTCATCTGCGGGATCTTTTCCGGGAGTAAAAACACTCGAATCATCTAAATTTCATTATTTTATACAAAAAAAAAAAAAAAAAAAATGGTTCATTTGACAAAATATTGGCCTTCATTATCATGACAGCCATTCAAATTAGTTGGTAAGAGCGGCGGAAAATGTGTAAAGTTCGGCTTGTAATTGTGGCGTCAAGAGCAACTAGAAGTCCAACCGAAAATAAAGTTTTCGGTTCAATTCATCCCCGAAATACATTCTAATCATCATAGAAAATTAAAGCCTCGTCCCAGACCATAACCGGAACCTCATGCAAAATATCCTAGCTATCAGCTCGGAATGTATGCCCTCTAATGTTGTAATGGTAATGGTAGACACTTGTTATTATCATAGTACAGCATACAACAATATAATTGGTACCAATTTAAAAGTCCTCTGGTATATAAAATCGAATTCTCCGGTCTATATCCTTCAGTAGTAAATATATTCGCACATAGAATACAAATATTGCCATTTTTCACACAGAAGTCTGGATCCATTGGACATGCTGACTATTGGCCGACTATCATGAGAGGAAACATGCTTGTTCTTTGGTCACACGCCTTTTTGTGTTTACGATGCTCGAGGCATAATTGCGGTCTCTGGAGCGACCAGAAAATCAGACAAAATAAGTTTTTCGTCCATTTCATCCCCTAAATATTAACGGATCATTACCAAAAACAATAGAGGTCTTCTTTGGCCGGGTTGCATGCAAAATTTTGTGACGATTGGTGCATAACTGTAGTAAAAGTTATAATATAATGTCTATACTAAAAGGTGGGTCTAGGGCCAATATTTCTCGGCATAACAAACTCTTGGGACTGCACAACGCTATAATACCCTGACAACATAATTGTGAAGGGTATAAAAATTTTCCGTTTATGTTTTTCAACTAGAGTGTCTGTAATTTGGAACACTATTCTTTCAGAGCATGAACAACCTAATATCACGTAACATCATAACATCCTTATATGAATATTCAGATTACACTTTGAATGCACCCCAAAATATAAAAAGTTCGATCCGCAGAACATAATGTGCTCTTTACTTGTTCTAAAATATTTTTGAATTATTTTTTCATCAAGCTTGAAACTTTAATTATACCCTACACAAGGATCAAGTCAACCAAAACCTAAAGTGACCAGTTTTTTTTTTATTTTATGGCGTAAAAATACACTTCAAGAAAAATGAAAAATATGCCAGGGTTAGAAAGTAGAGCTGTTGACCTATAATCGATCAAGGGGGCAAATATCACGAAATATTGCTCAGTTTAAGAATATAGAACCGCAGAAAGTTAGAGTTCGTGGTAGTTGCGTAGGGTATCATATGGTCGGCCCCGTCCGACAATACTGCTCCGCTCACTGTTTTTTTTATTATGATCAATATGAAATTATCACCAAATCGTCCATGACCGTAACACATTTTATTTCGCGCCCAAATATCTTTATTGATTTTATGCTTTTATTACTAATGACATATTTTATTGTCGTTAAAAAAAATAAGACATTCTCATTCAATGTGACATTGTTTCAAAAAAGCATGGGGTCTTCATAAATAATTACCTCTTGTTATCGGTTGTATTATTTTCAAATTAAGCTTAATTGGGCACTTTAGAACACTATGCTCCCTATAAAAATCAAAAACAAAAAAGAAAACATCACATAAGGTAATTTGTAATAAAAACGGCCCAATAATTCTCCACTTTTAAATCAACAATAGTCTAGAAATAATATTTTCCTAATACAAGTTTGCAAATGAAATAATGAAATATAATATAATTCCGAATAAGAACAATAAAACCTCATTGTTTATTGTGCCACATATAACTGCTGGTTTCAATTCAATGTTTTAAAAATATTTTGTCTTGTGAACTCTATTAACCTCCTGGCAAATACAATTTGCAATGACAAGCATTAAACCAAACAATTGATACACACATAAAATTTAATAATTTTCTTCTGTTTTCAACAACCATTTTATAGACTAATAATCTGTTTTTCTATAATAAAAAAAAAAATCTAAACAAATTCTAACTGACTATTTCCATTTGAGAATCTGCTCTAAGGTTCTATTTATATTAACAGCTTTTCGTATTAGGTTTCTAATTATTATAACAAATATTATTTTGTTTTTCATGTTTTCTTGAGGAATAATGTAACACCGATTATAGTCGAAACCTTGGCATGAAGTTTGCACATGTGGTAGTTGTTATTTTCAATTTTTTTTTTGTTCAATAATGCTTTTGCCTTGTTTTTGTGATTTGTGTATTACAGAATGTTCCATTTTGATTTGTTAGCATTTTCACATGTACATACGTACAGTATGGTGTTTTCAATAATTTTTAATTTAAAATAAAAAAAAAATGAAAAAAAAAACACCCAAGTGTTAATTGAT